AAAAGATGAGCATAATGATGCAAGAGATCGGGTAATAATTGTTATAATTCATTTTTTATCTATTATAAGTTCTGTGCGTCTTACGCATGTTTATTAAAATTATAGGATATTGCCAGGCATGTTTTGGGTGTACATATGCGCCGAGCTCCTCCAGAATCTGCTGTTGGCGAAATAGACATAACTAAAATGAAGAAATACATTGCATATGCAAGGCTGTGTGTAGTGCTATTTTATATAAACGTGTCCGATTTTGATTACGTGCACTACTAATTCTGGCGCTTTTTTGTTTTGTAGAAAATGCGCACCACGTTTATCCTCAGAGGCTGCAGAAAAGTTGAGTAGTCATTTCGTTGACATACGTTCCGAGGTGAAGCATATGGAGCAACAAAGCAACGTTCGTTCTTCCATTCCAATAACTGTTAGGTATTATCTTGATTAATAAAGCATTCCAAAAACCTATTTAAGATTATAGCGATAATAGTTGACATATTTTTAATAGGCAATTGGAAGCAATAGTCCGCATTTCTGAATCTTTGGCCAAAATGACCTTGTCACCGCGTGTAACGGAACAACATGTTGATGAGGCGATACGTTTATTTAAACATTCTACCATGGATGCTTTACAATCAGGAGAGGGTAAGGATAGACTTTGAATAACTTTAAATTATTGTATAAATTATAATCATTATTTCAAAATGCCATCGTTATTTTTAGTTGAAGGTATGTCTCAAGCAGAGGTGGCACACCAATTGAAGGTTGTGGAAAGAGAGATCAAGAGTCGCATCCCTATGGGTTCAAGAGCCTCTACACAACGAATAATCAAAGAACTTGAAAAGGTATGCAAATCTCATTTTACGGTTTTATAACTCTAATTTCAGATATAATAATTGGCTTTTTTTTTTAATTTACCAAGAATTTTTCTGTCATTGTTGTCGGACGTGCTATTGATATCTTGGTTAGGAGAGAAGTCCTTCAGTATAGGAATCAGCGAAAAGTAATATTTAGGTGCGGTGTATAATTCCTACAAATAATAATATAATAAATTTACTGTATTCACATTCAGTATGACATTAAGAGTCTTAAATTGTCACATTTTGTTGTGGGTTTATATATATAACAAGATCTATTAGAATTTAGATCAATTTTTTGTTAATTAGTTTTTTGGGGATTTATAGTTTTTATTAATAAAATACAAAAAATTAGTAGTTTATAATTTGTGTATTAAATATAAAGAGATTGGTAACAAAATATATATGGGGAGCAAGTTGTTTTTAAATAATTTTTTTTTAAAATATCTCAACAACTAATCAAACTTGATAAAAATTTTTTATTTTAATTTTACAGTATATACTGTAGTTATAGAATTAAAATAAAATAAAAAATTTATCAAGCTTGGTTTTTTTAACTTAAAGTTTTAAAAAAAATTTACTAAAAACAATTTGTTTAGTTTCTATTGATATCCAATATTCTAATACTGTATACAGTATTTTAAGTTTTTTTTTAATCTACTATATATAAAATGCTGTATTAATATACTGTAAAAAATATTAGTTTTCTCACCTTTAACATTAATTAAGGTTGTGGTTCAGTGCTTTTGCCTACTGATTATATTAGTTCTTCTAAATCTTTGTTTGAGAATTATATTGATTGTCAAGAGCCTTTGTCTAATAGTCATAGTAAGTTTTGTGCTTTATCTAATGATTGTTATTTATTAAGATATGATACTAATTTATCATATTTTAGCTCTTGTGGATGTTACTAACAATTATTTGAATTCCAATTAGTATGATATTTTACAAGAATCTACATGCCAGAACCTTTAGCAATATACTGATAATATAATACAACAAATGCTAAAAAAAAGAAAGCTCATTAATATTCAAGTTAGTGATTTTGTAAGAGTAAGCATTTCAAAAATTAATCAATTTGGTATTGATTACCCTACTCTCTCTTGCAAGGTTTTGAAAAAAACTGGTAAAGATTAGTACTGACTTGGGTGTAAATCTGGTATAATTAGTGTATACTATACTTCAGGTGAATTTGAAATATATTACTTGTTCTGAGCTTGATGATATTCTATTAAATTATATATTGATTTATGAAATAGCAAGACTGCAAAGTGTGAGAACTACATTAGGTTCTATTTGTAGTTGTAAGAGTTTATGTGATAACAAGAGGTGCAAGTATAAAAAAATAAATATAGAATATACAAGCCATTGTTATAGTGGATGATTGTATTTAAATAAAGATTAATACAATATATAGTATTATTATATAAAAGATATTTTTTTGTATATATTGAATAATTTATTATATATTTAAGTGTTAAATTTAGAATTTGTAAGATTTTAATTTAATAAATTTTAAAGGTTTGTTGATTATTACAAGATTTTTGTTTGTGTCAGATTACAATTTAATATATATCAGATCTAATTTGACACACATCAGATAACTGAAAGACAGATGATGTGTATCATTTACAAATTGGTATCTAATATGTATTGGATTAGATCCAATACAAGAAAGTATCTGAGGTACAACATATATATGTTAATTAATAAAAAAACTATATAATAAGGGAATGCCTATTTCCACCATGGTAATTTGCTATTTCCACCATGGTAGATCACCGAGAATTTCCGATCTACTATTTTATGTAACACGATCTATAAATTCATTTCTTCGTTTCTTTAAGAACTGTAAACGGCTATATAAAAGATCCAGGTCTGTTACATTCCACTAATTTTAAAATCTATAGTAGACCCGGAATCTAGTACATGACTGAAAATGCAATCTAGTGCTTTAAAGGAATTACATTTCAATCAAGAAGATCCTGAGATCTATACACGGGTCTAGTACCTAGTGGGTCTACTATTCGGAGGGACTTTTATGTGATGATCGGATTTGAAATGGCTCAAGGAAATCGGTTACCAGTAGTTAAGTACTTTGCTTTCTTTTGCATTTATTCTGGTTTTCTTATTGCTTGAAATACTATAGTCACTTCTACACAAATATTATCTTTAGCTTATGTTCAAAGTGAGCTAAGCACGGCATTTTGAAGAAGGTAAGAAAAAAACCTCGTTTGAATTTTAACGTGTCTAAAAATAATTTTATTTTCATTGAACCTGAATTTTTGTACATTACAGAACGAAAAACTAAAAGTGGAACGTATATTGTAATAAGAAACATATGTATGTTATTTGTCTAGTACACTAAAAAATCTAACTACTATCATATGTACTTTCCACATTAGGGCACGTTCTACTATTATGCCCGACTTCACGACATATGCCACATTTCCTTTGCTTTCCTATAACCAATTCAAAGGTGGACGGATCTCTTTCGGTAGATGATTGAGGTCAGTTTTTTGCACCAACCGGACGTCCTCTTGTGGGTTGCACCTGCGGATCTTGTATTATGGCAGTAGATTCTTGAAATAGGCCCGATATTTTATTGAGAGCTGCACTTTTTTGATAAAGTGACAAAGAGCTAAACTGCTGGCCATACTCTTCCCACTTCTGTTGCAAAGAATCCTCAGTTTCTGGTAGCCTTTGCTGAGGTGATTGTTGCTGGATCCACCAATGTTGATAAAAATCATCAAGTTGTAAGCATTGGTCACTTTCGAGAAGCTCCTGAATGATATGAGAGCAAGGTAGGCCCATAGACGATTTAAAAGTACCACTACAAGGTTGTAGTGGATTTTCTGGTGTTGCATTAGATGCTATTAGAAATTGCTCATGAACTTTTTTCAATGCAAACATAGACACCTTGGTGACGACCTGTGCATAGAATAGTTTGTTTTGAGCCTGAGGGATTCGAATCATTTCTTGAGAGATCATAGTTTTGATTTCTTGGTATTGATTATCTATCGCCAAAGATATTTTCTCATGGACAACATAAAGGTTGCCTACGGACACTTGAAGATACATTTTTAACATTGCATGGGCCCCTTCTGCTCGCGATGTCGTCACATTACCTTCAAGGCCAAAAAAAAAAAAAAAAAAAAAATTAATGATGAATGCTGAAATAGTTGAACAAGATGAATACTAAAAGCGAAAGTGAATGCTGAAAGAACTGAATAAAGAATAAAAAAGCTAAATACCTAGATGCAAGTAACGGTCTACCCAGCAGTTCACAAAATGTGCTTTAAACGGTAACCATGTATCTTGCAAATATGCAACAATTGATGATTTTTCGCTATATTTTCTTGCTAATTCTTTCCATTTATTATCAAAATCAGCTTCTGTTTTAGACTTTATAAGAGTGTGCCAATTTTCCAAGAATGTGTTCCATTCATTTTCCGTTGGAAAATGACGTCGACAGTTAACTAACACATTTTTTCCGATATGCCAAACGCACAGAAGATTCTGTGATTCAGGAAATATGGTTTGTATAGCACGCATCAAGGCCAGCTCACGATCAGTTACAATAACTTGGGGCCTTAAATCATTACTGAAAATGTGAGTAACACGGGTGAGGGCCCACTTATAATCTTCTTCCTGCTCTGATTTTAAGAAGGCAAAGCAGGAAGAAAATGTGGTATTAAAACTTGTCATGCCAACAACATGAAGTAATGGCATCTTAAACTTGTTGGTTTTATATGTACAGTCCATTAAAAGAACGGTATTATAGTTGTTGGTAAGTTCAATTGACTTGGGGTGAGCAAAAAAAAGATGTGTTAAATTCCCATCTTGATCACACTGATAGTCGTATTCAAAGTTCCCTTCTATAAGCTCATCGAGAAGAGCCTCGATTGGTGTGCGGCCTTGAAGATTGTCACGACGAATTTTATCTCGAGCATTGTAGATGGTTTTCGAGATTGCTAGACTATTTGGGTTGTTTTTACGGAGAGTAGAGAGTATCTCCCGAGGATAAACACCCGCTATTGACATATCCTGGACTTTTTGTTGATCTTCTTCATTCAATTTGTGACTAGACGGATGACCTGAGATATATGGTGATGCTTCGTGATTGTGTTCTTTATTGTTAATTATTAATTCCCATTTACTGTTATTTAACTTTTTACCATAGAGCTCAAAAGAGCAACCTATCAACCATGTGCTTGTGGATCTTTGACGAGTTTCATCAGTAAGATTCAGTTTGTTATTATAATGGCCACCTCTGTCGCACTTCAAATAAACAAACTTGTCTTTCTCAGATCTTTTAATGCTTACGGCATACCCATGACTAAAGGCATGCATTTTAGCATGATTGATAAGAGCTTCATGGCTTTCAAAGATTCCAGGTGAAGGCGGAGACAAAGACATGATTTTATATTTTTAAGTATACAAAAGATAATTATAGCGTTTTGGTTCTTTTATATGTAGTTGATGCTTTATTAATAATTTTACAACAAAATTTAGCACAAGAAGGTTTTAATGGAAATGTTTTTAGCGACTCCTAGATATTAAACTTTAACAATCCAAGATTGTTATTTTACAATGGCGAAATTACAGAGTTTTTATATTTTTAGCACACATAGGGCTCAAGGGGGCTTTTAATGATTACTTAAGGATTCTTAAAATTATACGTTCTTCTTCTCGAAACACGGTACACAAATTTATTATAAGACCTATGACGCGAAATAAGAATCCCTCAGGTCATGATTATCATTTGACATATTGGCGTGAATATATGACGCGAATTATCATCCAATATGCATAACTAACGTTGTTTTATTTTTTTTAGGTTAGCATAGAAATGCGAATAACGCTAATTCAGAATTGCTGCATATGCATGCATTGCATAACTATGGACGTCAAGCATTGTCAATTGTTTTTTCAACAGCTCATATTTTCCTGTACTTTGTTTTCACACGGATTAGATATTTAGGGTTAGGGTTAGGTTAGAGTTTAGGGTTAGAGATTAAGGTTAGGTTAAAGGTTAGGGTGAGATTAAATTTAGAGGTTAGGGTTTGAGAGGTTTTATTTATGAAATGTCTTTTTACAATAAGATATTCGGTGCGATGACTTTTAAGATTTTTGTTACATGAAAATTATTTTTTATACCTTTTTTTCT